TCTGTTAAGGTTGCATCTCTTTATCGAGCTTGACACATTCCTACTCCGGATTCTATTCTTTATCTCTATAAACCTATATATCCGAATATTGTGCTATATTTGGGGCGGATCTTCTAATGATGCCCTTTCTCTTTTAGTGCAAAAATGCATTCTAGACATATTTGGGCCTGCTCTTGCAGCAAACCTCCAACCATTATCACAACGTCGCACAGTGGTGCAAAACCTCAAAAAATTAGCCATAATTCAAAATTTTTTGAAACTTTATAAAATTTTTCTTTTTATTTAATAAATTATGTTGCTAATATTATCTAAAAATATATAGTTTTGTTATTTTTGTTCATTAACAGAACCGCTAAATGGATTATAAAGACCTCATTTGTAATAAATTTCCATGAAAATAATACAAACGTTTTCAACGCAATTTTTTAAATTTATTTATAATTTTTTTTTTTTTTTTTTTTTTTTTTTTTTTTTTTTTTGTCAGAATTTTTAAGATATTTTCAATTCTACGTCAAAAAAGTTTCACTTCATTAAAGTTAAAAAAAAACTTTTAAAAAGTACTCTAAATAATGCTAAAAAATGCAACATTTTGTAATTTTGAATTTGCTGTTTGTTCATAAGACATCCTATTCAAGCTAATCTAACACAATCTTTATTAAGTTCAGGTTACGGTAATATCTCGTTAAAAAATTCAGCTGCATATATTCATGCATTATGATTAATTTTTAGCTACTAATATGCAACCTTTTTTATGCTCTAATATTTTCAAAGTATATAGTTCGTTTAAAAAGTATACAAATGCAAAAAATTTTAAAATTTTTATAAACGCCAACAATGTTATGTTGCTAGGTTAAAAAAAAAAAATACTTTTATGTTTTAAATTCATACACACGTTTATTTTTTTATCGTGAAATTTTATCAAAAAAAAGGTATTTTTTAAATGTGTTTTGTATCTAGCGCCAGAGGGACAGAAACATTTTAAATAACTTTTCTTTACTACCAATGTTATATGATAGCTTAAAAAAGTTCAGTTAAAGTTGATACATTTTATAGATTTTAAAACAACTTTAAATGACGAGCACTTTAAATGCAATTATCGATTTTTTAAAACAATTTTTTGAGTATTATTGGAATTGTTTTATTTATTTCCATAGAAACGAATTTTCTTTTTTAACCAGTTATACAAAAAGATTAAATTAGATTATCCTAAAAAAAACAAAAAAATATTTCTAAATTTACATAAAACTAAAATTTATAAAATTATTTGTTTATTTATCAGGTATATCAACGTCACTATTTTTAAAATCTTGAAGCAATTCGCTAAAAAAAGCTCTTTCTTCTTCGGTTTCTTTTTCTTTGTATGCTTCTTCCCTCTGTATCACTATCTTCAACTTGTTTTTTTATTTTGTTCGGTATTTTCTCGTCTTCATATTTGCAAACAGTTATTTGATCATTTTATTTCCAACATGAGCAGCCGTGGCGCAGTGGTTAGAGTTCTGGCTCAGATCCCAGAGGTCCCAGGTTCGACGCCAACAAACGACATTGGTATGGAAAGAGGGGTGAACTTTCTGTTAAATGCTCTCCCACGGTGCTCTATGATAAGACCGCAAGGACTTCTGGGAGCTCCTAAATACATACAAAAAAAAAAACAAAAAAAAAACATTATTACTTTTTGGTAACTCTACTAGTGAAAGCATTTAAATCGTCCAAATAAATTTTGCTTGTCAGTTTGTGTTTATTTGCCATTACCTTGTTACTATTTTCAATTATTGAAAATATTACCGAGATATGTTAAATATCCAAACATTTATTTAACATATCTCGGTATGTCAATACTCGGCTCATTTTTCCGTAATATTTATTTCTATATTTCTTAAACATTTTCATTCTTTTTTCAGCTGGATCTTCTGATAAAACTCCACAAAATCCAAGTAATCCTGGCAGATGAATTCTTGACATAATATGAACGCTGTGGACCAGCAGTTTATGCACTGAAACTGGCATGAAAAACCATTTATAGCTAGCAACATACCTTTCAAAGGTTGCTTTGCAGTAGGCTTCAAATGTAGAAAAATTGATCTTTACATTGAAGTTTATGACACTCAATATAGTGTAGAAGCGGCGAATATATTCGACATCAATCCCCGGTAATCTCGCTAAATATTTGGTAATTTTGAAATGCTTTTCGCGTGTTATTACCATCATTAGTTGTACCATCACCACCTTCTTTTGGTATGTAAACAAGAAGACCCAAACGTTTTTGAAATTCAATTTGAATGCGTTGTTTTTAATCTGAAGCCAACATTTTATGGTTTTGATCTCGAATTTGTCAAGTCTTGAAATCAAGGCGATATGCAATATTAAGTATGCATTTAAAACAATGAATTCAGGCATGCAAACTTAATAGACCTAGCTGAAGAATACCTTTATTAACAGTTTTTTCTTTTTCGCAAAGTTATGAGTTTTTGTTTTGGTGTTGCCAAACAAATGCTGCACGACGCTGAAGATTTTTGACATATGGCATTAGCAGCTTTGCAGTCTATCATGGTAAGCACCAGATTACACTTAACTCTAAGCTGATTTAGCTCGTTTTACTCATTTAGTAAGCTTACTATTGTGTTTCTTAATGATGCTATTTAATTCTGTATATACTCTTTTTCTACTCGTAACAAATTTTTTTGAACTGTAGTCTATATTGGCAGACAAAAACGATAAAACGAAGATTTTTGATTTTTCCAAATTGAACTAGACGGTTTGCCAGATAACATTAAGGTATTTTCAAAAGAAAGATCAAGTGGAAAAAATGTTTTTGTAATTATGTGCTTATCAGAGCTGCTATCGTCCAAATAAAATTGCTTTTTGTACATACTTTGTCCAGATGCACCGTCAAAGCCCCATTTCCCGCTTAGAATTAATGTTTTACCAAATAGTTCAACCAATTTTTTAACTTTAGATTGCACTTGGTCTAACTGCAGTAATCGACAACTTGTATGATTCAGCAGATCTTGCAATGGCACCTCGCATTTTGACTCCGTAACTGTTATATTCTTAGGGAAGCATAGTTGTTTAGCTTGTAGTACTTTGCGATAGCTTGGATAAAGTACAGCATTGTGCTTTTTGGCATTGTATCTAAGCATTTTATAAGCATTTATGATCAAATCTGTTGAGATTATTAATGCAAGAGAATCCTCACGAGTCAATGATAATTTAAAATTATGCTTTAAATCATGTTTTAAAATCTCAGTAATACTTGTTGCACTTGATGGTTCTTCTTTTAAATGCATTAGGACGTCTGCCAAATCAGGTTTTTGCATTGCTTTAGCAGCAGCCGATGCAGCAAATAAGAGCTTTTCAATAGGAGTAGTTTTTGATAAACTATATGAAGCTTGCCTTTTAGTACGATGTGCTTTCTCATCCCAGCATTTTTACTTTGGACCTTTATAAAAACATTTATCAAAAATATACTTATAAACATAATTATAAAAATGTAATTATAAATAAACTACATTTACAAATACTATTTATAAACATAAAATTAATTTTTTAAAAATAAAAAACCTCTTGTTTTTTTGTTTGAGTCATCGAGAGATCTCGAAATACTGATAGATGATGAAGGATAGAAATGCAACAGTCGATTTGTTGATTAAAAAACGCTTGAGCCAATTGAACTAGCATTTAAAAAGCGGGATTTGCAACGTTTTGCATCGTTTGTATTCGATCATTTTAAATTTGCATTAGTTAATGAAAGTTTAATTTATTTTTCTTTTATATTATCATTATTATAACAAGACTTTTATTTTTCTGTTAGCTAAGTTCTGCATTTTTCAGCAATAAAAACGTATGTATCTTTTTAATGAAAATATATTACAAAAATTAGGTCTTTATAATCCGTGTAGCTGTTCTGTTAATGAACAAAAATAACAAATCTATATATTTTTAGATAATACAAGCAATATAATTCATTAAAGAAAAAAAATCAATTTATAAATTTTCGAAAAATTTTGAATTATGGCCACTTTTTTGAAGTTCTGCACCACTGTGCGTCGTAATGTTGCTTCTCTTTCTCTTTTCAGCAAATACTATAATGGGCACTGTTATAAAGAGCTAGCGTCTCTTGTGCTATATACTAAAATTCATTCTCATGTTACTTATCATTCAATTAAGTCTTTTTCTCTCCCTAAGTGCTCCAAAAACTCTTATTCGTCTAGTTTTTTTCCTTGAACATCAGTTTTTTTAAATTCGCTTCCTTTATCTTGTTTTACTGATAATTTTTCTTCCTTCATCTTGCTTTCATATAATTTCACATGATCTCTAAAGTTCACTGAAAATTTCCAGCGAACTTGTTCCAAAACCCAGCGAACTTTTCCAGCGAACTTGTTCCAAAACCCAGCGAACTTTTCCAGCGAACTTCCAGTGATCTTTAAAGATCACTGGAAGTTCGCTGGAAATTTCCAGCGAAGTTGTTCCAAAATCCAGCGAACTTCCAATGAACTTTTCTAGCAAATTTTCATGTTTATGTATAAAAACAGATTCGCTGGAAGTTTTTTTAAAAACGATTTCTTTTTTTTTTGCTATAAAAGTTTCAAAAGTTTATAAACATTTAAAAAAATTTTAACTAATAAACGCGAAATAAGACAAGTTAAGCGCGATAAAAAAGTAATATATTTATTTTAAAATATCGAGTTTTATAAATTAAAATACAATGTAGGATTAGATTATCTTGGGTACAATTACAAATTCTCAGAAATAAACTTTAATACAGAATACCATGGCCTACTATATTACTAAAAAGACCCCTTCTTCTCATAGAAATATACTTCTTGATGAAATAAATAGTCGAACATACTATAAAGCCAAGGGTCAACCACAATATTCTGCTGATATGATTAGACATGCTTTATTATTAAGATATACAGCTAAACAAGCATATGAAATTTTACTAGAATCATTTCCATTACCTTCAATTTCTTTTTTAAATAAAATAAAACAAGGTAAAATTGATGCAATAAAGGCTGTTAAAACACTTCGTGAGAAAGGTTCAATACATGGAGATGTAATATTAATTGTAGATGAATTTTATCTTCAGAAACAAGCAAAATATTGTAGTGGTATTTATATGGGTGCAGATGATACAGGTATTCTTCGTGAGAAAGGTTCAATACATGAAGATGTAATATTAATTGTAGATGAATTTTATCTTCAGAAACAAGCACAATATTGTAGTGGTATTTATGTGGGTGCAGATGATACAGGTACTTTGTACAAAGGAGTTGTTGCATTTATGATAGTTAGTTTAAAAAAATCAATTCCTTTCATTATTAAAGCAATACCTTAAGTTAACATAAGTGGTAAATGGCTTTCAGATCAAATATCCGATTCTATAATTCTCTTTCGCTATCTGGTTTTAAAATTCGAGGTGTTTTTACCGATAATCATAAATCGAATGTAAGTGCATTTAGTTTGCTTCGTTCCAAATTTGGTAATCAATCAAATTTCTTTATTAATCATCCTGATAGTCCAAATACTAAAATATACTTATTTTATGATAGTGTTCATCTTGTTAAAAATATCAGAAATAATTTATTACACTGTAAAAAATTGGTACAGTGTAAATAAATTATTACATCCTTTCTTCAATATAAAAGATGATTCTAATAATTGTCCAGCTGGTTATATTACTTGGGGAGATTTTCATAATCTACATTCTAAAGATGAGAAACTTCAAAGCAATTTACGAAAAGCTCCAAAATTTCATACCAGAGTCTTCACCCTGGTAACAAAAAGCAAAACGTTTCTCTCGCACTATCAGTTTTTGATGAAACAACAATTGCAGGTTTCAAGAGTTATTTTCCAGAACGTAAAAACATTTCTGGTTTTCTTACAATTTTTCACAAATGGTGGACTATTTCAAATTCTAAAGAGCGATTTAGCCCAAATAAACTTGGTAATGCGATTATTCTTAATGATGGTAAAAAAACTTTTTTTCGACAATTAGCTAATTGGATTGAACTTTGGCAGAAATCTCCATATTTTACCTTATCACAACAAACATCATCGGCTCTCATCACAACTCTGCATTCTCAAGCAATGCTTATAGATGACGTTATTGAAGAAGGATATTTATATGTACTTACTTCACGGCTTCAGTGACCCAATAGAGCGTAGATTTTCGCAATATCGACAGATGAGTGGTGGAAGATTTCTAGTTAGCTTACTAGAAGTTCAACATTCTCAAATTATTTTAGCATGTCGGTCTTTAATTAAGGAGAATATAAATTTTTGGGATGAAGATCTAAAAAATAACCTCAATAACCCAATTAATAAAGAATTACTGGCAATATTAGATTTAAACTCAAACGAGATATATAAATCAACTCTCTCACCTGAAACAGAAGAAGTTGCAACAACAATAGCAGGTTACATTGCTAAAAAATTAATCAAAAGAAGCAAATGTAATTATTGCAAACCTTTGCTAGCTACAGATACAAGCAATATAATTATTTGTCCATATCTACAAATACTTTCCAGAGGTGGTCTTACAGTACCATCACTTTCACTTAAAGATTTTACATGTGGATGTTTTGCAGTCTTAGATAACCTTTCAGATTTAATAACCAAACAAGGTGCTAGTGTCAAAGACGTATCAAACTTTGTTTTATCAAAATACTTTCCAACAGTTTGTTTTACCTGTGATATACACAAAAAATGGGGTTTTAATTTTGCTTCTTAAATCATAATTAATGTTTTTTTTAGCAATAAGCAGAACTTATTCAATGCTACTGTACGAAAAGATGCTGTTAAAAGTTTTAAAAGTAGACAGAGAGAAAAATAATTCTATATATCTATATCTATATCTATATCTATATCTATATCTATATATATATATATATATATATATATATATATATATATATATATATATATATATATATATATATATATATATATATATATATATATATATATATATATATATATATATACCTATATACATAAACACACATATATATATATATATATATATATATATATATATATATACCTATACACATAAACACACATATATATATATATATATATATATATATATATATATATATATATATATATATATATATATATATATATATACGATTTTTGCAAAGAAATTTACAAAGAAAACCAAGGTTTAGATTTATGTTCTTTTATTTTTTTATCTATCTTTATGTTAATATATATATATATATATATATATATATATATATATATATATATATATATATATATATATATATATATATTATATATATATAATATATATATATAATATATGCGTGTTGCTAAAGTGGCGGTAAATACCGCCGCGCTAATCTTCAAAATTTGCTAGAGTGGCGGTAAAATTCATGACGAAAAATACCGCCAACTTAAATTGATATCTTGCTAAAGTGGCGGTAAATACCGCCGCAATAACCTTTAAAATTTGCTAAAGTGGCGGTAAATCGATGAAGCCTATATTATATATCTATATAACTTTATATATATATATATATATATATATATATATATATATATATATATATATATATATATATATATATATAATATATATATATATATATATATATATATATATATATTAACATAAAGATAGATAAAACAAAAGAACATAAATCTAAACCTTGGTTTTCTTTGTAAATTTCTTTGTAAAAATCGTGTTGTCAATTTAAATGTATAATGTACAAATATAAAAATATATATTAGATACTAATACATGTATAATATACATAGATATATATGTTTATAAATACACAAATCTCTATGATTAATTATCGCTGATGAATACACTTTTCTTTGTACTCAAAATTTCATTTAGCCTGGATGATGAGTTTTTTCTCTGTAATTGCGCAGCCATCTTTTTAATAAATAGGCCTCTTAGAATCGGCCTCTAAAATGTAACATATACGGCCGTATAATATAGTAGGCCATGAGAATACAATTTTTAACAAGAAACTAAATAGTTAATTTACTAATATTAATTTAAAACATGTATTTTTTTATAGGCATAAGTAAACGCATTGTTGATCTTTACTTTATATTACGCATGTTTCTATATTTAAAAAGATTTTTCTCGTTAGCGTTCTCATATGACAAATTATCACAACAAAACAAAAAGAATTAAGAAATTCGTCAGTTCATCTTTTGAAAAACACTTTAGCCATTCTTTTCGGTTTGGGTCTTTAGAGCTAAAAAAAAAAAGAAAAAAAAAGAAAAAGAATGCATACAATAAATAAAGAACATATATATCCCTAGTAGCAAACAATATTGGCACGATATTGGGTATCTTGGCTAATCTTGGCCAAGATATTCGATATTGTGTCAATATTGTCAAGCAATATTGCGTTTTACTGATATTGCAATATTATCGTTTTACTGATATTGTTATGCCAATATTGACGAAATATTGCGCCAATATTATCCATTATCGTTTTACTGATATTGTTATGCCAATATTGGCGAAATATTGTTTTAAACACATTTAACAAAACTAAAGGACATGAATATTCCTTAATATTACGCATGCGTACCAATATGTAAAATTTAATATATAGCCAATATTGGCAAAACAGGCATTCTTATGTTATTAATTTTTTTACAAAAACAAATAAGAGTTCAAAATAAAAATTTTAATTTATGAAAAGAGAAGAAGTAGGAAAAGTATTTTTAATTCAACATTTACAGACTGAATCAGGAGAAGAAGTGTTGGTAATTTATTTTGAAACAGATAGTATCACGAGAAGAAGTGGTTAGAGTAATAAAATTCTTTTATTCAACGAATTGAACTAAGAGAAGAAGTGGTTGTAATTAATTTAAAACATATTGCATCACGAGTAGAGTTGCAAAAAAAACCGTTTTTTTTTAATTGTGTTTTTTTTGCAAAAAAAACATGTTTTTTTTGTGTTTTTTGTGTTTTTTATGGTTTTTTTTGTTTTTTAGATTAAAAAAAAAATTATTTACTTTTATTTAATTTTAATTTTTATTATAAATGTAATATAATATATATTAATAACATGATATATGGTAAATATATAGTACATCATTTAAAAGATTTATTTTTAATTAATAACAGATTCTGTATTCTGGCTTTCTTGTTCATTAAGGTCTTCTATTGTAAAGTCAAATCCGTATTGCATCCACAACTATTCACAACTCAGAAAAATAAAATTGCATCCGTATCCGGATGCAATTTTATTTTTCTGAGTTGTGAATGGAACTCTTGTTGAAGAATACAATCGTTTTAAGGGAGGCTTATCTGATTTGGTTTTATTTGCCTTACAGTCTCCAAACTTAGGGGTTGTAGACCTACTTTGGTTTCCAAAACAGCTTGGTGTTGGAAAGAAAGATTTAATTGGAACTTGTGGAATAGCAGATGATAAACATATTTTTTTTTCTTTTTTCATATCTTGAATAGGTAAGTTTTCAGGAATATCTTCTTCCATCATTAGTTCAGTTTGAACTTTCTTCTGTTTAAAAGGCATATCGTTCAAATATTTGTTTTTTATTTGATCGCCACATTTCATACATTTTGCAATGTGCTCAGTCATTCGAGTGCCATTTTTTGATAGCTTTAAGCTGCAAAATTTCCATATAACTTGTTGAATTTTAGAACCTCCAGATTCTTAAGGTGCCTCATTGAACAATGTAGCTACAAAACATTTCTTTCTGCCTGGCATATTTTTTTTTTAATTTCTTTTTTTTTTTAAATTAAAAATAATTAAAAGATTACAAATTGTTTAATATAAATGTTTTTTCATTAGACAAAGTTAATCATTGTGTTATTTTTATTTACTGGAATATTGTTTGAATAAATAAAATTTTAGCTATCTAATTGCAATTTAAAATAAAATAAAGAAATTAAATATTAAAAATTTAAAAAGTAATATACAAAAGTAAATAAAACATTAAAGTAAATTTTATTTAACAGTTGGTTCAATTTTGTATTTTGCAATGCAGTGTTATTTCATTCATTTTTATGAATGAAATAACATTTCATTCATTTTTATGAATGAAATAACACTGCTAAAATAACATTTTTATTTCCTTCATTCAGTAGTATTATACTTACAATCAACTAGTAGCTAATAGTATAGTTTTTTTGAGATTTATTTAAAAAATTACTTTTTTAAATATTTAATACTGTTTTTTTTTTAATATTGGTGATTAGTTTGTAACAGCTATTATATAAGTTAATATGCATTTTATTAAATAGAAAACATTTGTATTTTGTAGGGTTAAGGGCACTGGAACTGTTTCAAGTATTATTATTATCTAAAATTTAATGAATACTAAAAAAAAGCAAAAAAAACTATAAAAAACATGTTTTTAGAACCAGTCTGTTTTTTTTGCAAAAAAAACGTGTTTTTTTTAAAAAAAACACACCGTTTTTTTTGGGGTTGCAACTCTAATCACGAGAAGAATAGGAAAAATATTGCTATACTCAAGTATCAAGATTAAAATAGTAAGTTTACTCTTAATATATATATATATATATATATATATATATATATATATATATATATATATATATATATATATATATATATATATATATATATATATATATATATATATATATATATGTAAAACTTATATTTTATAGATAAATCTTCTCAAAATGTTTTCATTTAAGAGTAAACTTACTATTTTAATCTTGATACTTGATATATATATATATGGTAAAGCTACAGTTACGCGGCCTAAAATAATTATATTTTTGCCAGGGGGTTTTGCTACATCGACTTTCTTATAGCCTGACTCGCAACGGAGTGCCGCTACATCGACTATCTTATAGCCTGCTGCTACAAGGAAGTGCTGCTACATCGACTGAGGGTTTGGCATGGGAAAGCAACCTTTTCTCTTTTATTAGATCAATGTAGCAAACTTCCTGGCAAAAATATAACTATTTTAGGCCGCGTAACTGTAGGATTACCATATATATATATATATATATATATATATATATATATATATATATATATATATATATATATATATATATATATATATATATATATATATATATATATATATATATTATTGACCTTCACACACACATAAATTTATTACAAGATAATAATTTTGCAGGAATGATCAAATGATTATTTGTCAATCTCAATATCTTGACATTTCGTACTTTGTTTATTTTCCTTGTTCGTCCTCACCGTGATTCTTGCAGCTCTGTCTACTATCCTAGACTTTAAAAAGATTAGCAATTAATTTAAAATGTTCTATGCTAGTCTAGTAAATTTGTTTTTGGCCAGACTGGACTCACTTACAAACAAAGACTACTCCCAGCGGGCACGGAAACGTCCATATGACGTCGAAAGGACGTCTTTTTAGGACGTCCAGAACTGGTTCTAAATGGCAACGCCAGATGACATCTTTTTAAGACGTAATTAGGACGTCTTTTTAGGACGGAATAAAGACGTGTTTTGAGACGTCTAAAAGACGTGAATTTAGGACGTTCAGAACTAGTGCTAAATGGAAACGCCGAATGACGTCTTTAAATAACCTAATTTAGACGTTCTTATTTCGACGTCTAAAACACGTGTTCTAACATGGCTTTACTTAAACGTAAGATTCAAATTATGTTTTTACAGAACTTCTTGAGAATAAGAAAAAAATAATAAATCATTTAAATTTTTTAATAATATAATTGTGCTGAGTTTTATAAATTACATCTTTGTAAACTTCTTCTTCCACTTTTCGATCAAATGCACTCTTTAAAATATTGCCACCAGCATTTTAAAGTTTTTTTTTTGCTGTAGGAATCAGGAAAGCAGTCTTAACCTTAAAAAAATATTGTTAAGATAAGTATGTAAAAATAAAGGGGAAAGAAATAAATAACACACACACACATATATATAATTATTATTTTATAAACTTAACATCAAACATCAAAAAATACGAATTTCACAACACAAAATTTATTTTTTTAAAGAAATTTTTGACTGGATTGTTGTGACCAGCGTATATATTTATGTATATCAAGTATGCAATATAATTCCGCTATTAAAAATGCTCTTTTTATAGAAAAATTATACTTACTTTGAAAGCATGCCCTTCTCAAATGCATTGCATGATGAGCCACCAACATTTAATAACTTCTATTTCTAAATTCAAAAGATAACACTAGTGTAATTGATATGGGACAATTTAGTGTAAGTTATATTGGGCATAGGAGCAATTCATTAGTGTTTTATTCAATTCAAAAATTTTGTGTAAATTATGTTTACTTGTAAAGTGAGCATTATGTATATAATTACAGATCAAAATTTTTTATGTAATTTACCCTTATAAAAAAAAACTAAACATTTAACCATAATAAAAAATATACTACTTTTTGCAACATTAGTATCGAGAAATGATTGATCACATTCAAGAGACTTGGCGATAGAATCATACTAGTAAAGATCAAAACTATTCTCAACTTTAAACGTTTTTTATATTTCATTATTCTTAAGATAAGTAAGTAAATGAATTAAAGACTATATATTATAATTTATATATATATAAATTATAATAGAAAAAATATATATTACATCTTCGCTTCCAACAAGGCTGCGAACAACCACTATAAGAGTTTGGAAGTTATTGGAAGAGAAAAGATTAAGTTTGTAGAGCAAGATAATGATTGACAGATGACTAAAAAATTGCAAATTATATGAATCAGGGAAGCAAAACGAAGGAAGCAAATTCCAAAGAACTGATGTTCGAAGAAAAAAAACTAGCTTTAGAGCAGTGCCAATTATAGTATTTGTAGAAAAGAGAAAAAGAAGCAACATCACGACGATGTGACAATGGTTGGAGATTGGCTGCACAAGCAGGTCCAACTATGTTTACAATGCGTTTTTCCACCTTGTCTAAAAGAGAAAGGGCATCAATAGAAGATCTGCCCCAGATATGGCAACAGTATTCCATACAGGGACGGATTTGAGATTTATAGAGATAGAGAATAGAATCTAGAGTAAGGAAGTGTTGAGCTCGATAAAGAGATGCAACCTTTGCAGATGCTAATTTTGCAATGGATTTAATATACGGTTTAAAAGAAAGATCAGAAGTAAAAGGTAATCATAGAAGGTGAAGGGCATATGACTCATCTAGTACATTACCATTCATAAATATAGGAAGATCAAAATTATTGCGATAACGATTGGCCGAAAAAAAATGAGTTTTATCTGAAATAAAGTTCACCAGCCATTGTGAGCCACATGCTGTAGCAGAGGTGAGATCCTTTTCAAGCTCAGATACCCCCTCCAAGCAATCAGAGAGTGTAGGCTTCTTATCATGACAAGAATAAATAGTAGTGTCGTCAGCGAACAATGCCACCTTAGATGTGATAATATCTGCAAGAGAGTTAATGTAAATTAAAAAGAGTATAGGGCCAAGGATTGAACATTGAAGAACCCCTGAGGTTACAGGATATGAAGAAGATATATATATATATATATATATATATATATATATATATATATATATATATATATATATATAACTAACTAAAATATAACTAAAATTTTACTAACTACATTATTTGAAAGGAAATTCTTAAATGTTCTTTTTTTCTTGCTGAATTGACTAGGTACCTATTTTGAGTATTGAGAAGTATTAAAAAAATTAATTTATAAAGATAAAAGGCCTAAATAGTTAAAATAACTTCCAAGATAGTTATTAGAAGAAAAAATATTACTTACATTATTCTTTGTAAAACTTTAAGATTTATCATTGACTTCATATATTTTCTTTAACTTTGTTTTAGGAAAAGCGAAATTCAGTTGTCCTAAAAAATGATTTAAAATATCAATAAATGTTATAAAAGTAGTTTGAAAAATAAAAGATACTTCTTATACAAAAATCTTCGCATATATTTAAATATGTATACAAAAAACGTATAGCACACTTTTTAACAATTTCGTTTATTTGAAATAGACGTAAATAGAATAAAATGAATCACAGACTTTCAAATTTTGGAGGAGCTGAATGAATTAAAGAAGTTTTTACTAATAAAAATTCATTAGGCATATCACACAAAATAAATTATATCACATCAACCATCACATAAAATGAACTATTGCCAAAACCGTTG